CCATCCCTCACCACCACCACCCCTGCCCTTGGTCTGGTCAGACCTTTCTCACCCTCTGGGACTCCAGTTCAGAGTCACTTCCTAAGAACAGTTTCTCTAAGGCAGCCTAGATTCTTGTACATGGAGGGCTCTGTGGCACTTCTCTGCTTAATGCTTGAGCCCTTTGTCCCCTTCGCCAGTGTTTCCCTAGTGCCTGAGGCTGAACAGACACTCTGGAGACCTGTTGAATAAATGAACATCGCCATGACAGGAGCTGTCTCCCAGATATTTGCGGCTCTAGCATGTTTTCAGGTCAACCCAGAATCCTGGCAACCTAGAGAGAGTAATTTAAAAAAAAAATATTTACAAAAAAAATTTACAATTTAAGATTTGTGAGTCCTAATTAGGATTTAGTTTTAGTGATTGACTTCTCTAAATGAAGAATTTTCTGAAAATAGGTTGAGAAATAAGTTATTGGCTATTTACAGCTATGTAAAGATTATCTCACAGCAGAAAATAGGAGAGACGAGTGGTTTAAATATCATGTGACACCTTCCTGTGTTGCTGGAGGCATTGTAAGCCCTCTTGGGAAGTAATTTAGTAATCTACATCACAAACCTTAAATATCCATTAATGCCTCAATGGTATGGTAAAAAGTACTCTCACACTCCCGGCAGAGGTGTAAATATGTTTGATCCTTTTGGAAAGCAATGTGGCCATGTCTATTTAGAGCCTTATGTTGTGTTCCTGGGGCACACAGGAACTTCTTAAATGGCCACCTTCCTCAGGAACCACTGGACCACTCCCTGGACCACTCAACGCCCTCAGGCCGGGTGCCCTTTCCCTGGCTTTTTGTAACACTTACCACGTCTGTAATTACTTGTTCAACATCTGTCTCCCCTTCTAGTTTCTAAGCTTCGTGAGAGTAGGTTTGGTACTTGCTTTATTATCTCTGTATCTTTAGGACTCTCAGAGTGCCCTATGCACATTAAGATAGATAAATACTTGTTGAATAAAATGAATTGAGAAAGTCAGCCTAAAAAGAAATAGATTGAACCCCCAATAACAGTATTACCAGGACTTCCTTGGAGGCACATTGGATAAGAATCCACCTGCCAATGCAGGGGACACAGTTTCGATCCCTGGTCCGGGAAGATCCCATATCCTGGAGGAGCACCTGAGCCCATGTGTCACTGCTGAGCTTGTGTGTGCTGCATCTACTGAAGCCCGTGAGCCTAGAGCCTGTGCTGCGCAATGAGAGAAGCCGCCGCAGTGAGAGGCTGAGCTCCAATGAAGAGCAGCCCCCCTCTCCGCAACTAGAGAAAGCCTATGTGCGACAACGACGATCCAGCGCAACCAAAAATAAAATTAAAAAATAATAAAATAAAAAATTATTAAAATATAGTAACCGTTAAACTTTCTGGAGAGGATGATGTGGCCTGACATTGCTGCATGTGCTTTGTCACAGCAGCCCTTGAGCTTCCTCCTCTCACAAGTAGTAAACCTAAAGACATTAACTAACATGTCCAAGTGAAAGTCACCCAGGCGTGTCTGACTCTTTGCGACCCCGTGGACTAAATAGTCCATGGAATTCTCTAGGCCAGAATACCAGAGTGGGTTGCCGTTCTCTTCTCCAGGGGATCTTCCCTACCCAGGGATCGAACCCAGGTCTCCCGCACTGCAGGTGGATTCTTTACCAGCTGAGCCACCAGGGAAGCCCAAGTTAAGGTCAATCAGCTAGGAGACTGTTTATCAGAACATCATTTATAATGCTCAAAAATTGGAGAGAATCTATATGTCATTAGAATAGCTTACAGTGTAGTTATTAGAATCTTAACTTTTCAAAAGTTATTAGAATCTTAACTTTTCAAAAGTTGTGCAGTAACAGGAGGATGGGTGTAGCATTTAGTCCATGCAGTTCAGTGGGGCCTGCTGTGACAGTGCCTTCTACCTGCTGGATGGCACCCATGGTTCCAGAGTTATACTCTCTTAGTTCGTACAGGTGTGTTGAGCAGGGCTAAGGGGGCTGGACAGAAAGAAATTCATCTGGAAGATGGGAAACAACTGGGTGAGCAGGTCCTGAAGTGAGAGTGCGGAAGTGAGAGAAGTTCAGTGAGTCTGGGGGAAGTTATAAGAGATGAGGCTGCGGAGGTAAGCAAAGGTCAAGTGGAGAGGATCTTTGGGTTTTATCCTGAGGCAACAGTGCCCCCGGCAATTTCTGCACATAGGAATGTGACAAGTTGCAGGTGGCATTCTTGGCATCTGAGAAGCTCCAGGTATTTGTTTCAGTAGAATTGAGGACTATATATGGAACATGGAAAATTAAAAGAATCTAAGATTTGAGGTCTGGGCCTACAAACCATTATTTTTCAGAATTTATAAGAAAATGTCTGCTTTCCCCTAATTGCCTGCTGTCTAAACTGCCTCCCCCCGCCCCACTTTAAACTTGGTTACTTGTTTTCTGTTTAAGACATTTGACCCAGTGCACTTCTTTGGTTGAAACAGTAGTCAGTTCTGTCCTCTTAGTGCAGAACTAACTGTTCTGTTAGTTCAGGCTAAATGTTTCCAGATGTGTATGTGTTAGTCGCTCAGTCATGTCCAACTCTTTGCAATCCCATGCACTGTAGCCTACCAGGCTCTTCTGTCGGTGGAATTCTCCAGGCAAGATTACTTGACTGAGTAGCCATTCCCTTCTCCAGGGGATCTTCCTGACCCAGGGATCAAACCCAGGTCTCCCACATTGCAGGCAGATTCTTTAGCATCTGAGCCACCAGGGAAATCCCTAAGTTTCCAGATATGGGAATATAAGTGTGGGGCTTTATAGCTTGGAATGCTTTCTGTTTTAAGGCCCAAATGTGGCTAATGGGCTTTAAGAATGTCTTGGCTGTTTTATTTTGCTTCATCACGTGTATTGTCTGGAGCAGGAAGTTCACATCTTGAAGATAGAGGTGTTAGACAAAGAAAATGAGAAAATAATTGTCTTTTTTGGTATTTTCCTTGCTGGGTTCTTCTTTTCTCATTGTCCATACAAATATACTATAGTGTGCAGTTCAAGAACTTCAGTTTTTCTCCTTCTGCCTTTTGTCATGTCTGAAATATCTGTTAGCCTATGATTAATACCTCTGTTTATGTATTAAACAACCTGGACAATTTGGGGAAAAAAATAGATGGCTGGCCCTTGCCTAAGACCAATTCAGGATCTCTGGGAGTGGGGCCCAGGCATCCCTGGTTTTCAAACGTTCCCCTGGTAGTTCAACTACAGAGTTATCTACTGCTGCTGCTGCTAAGTCACTTCAGTCATGTCTGACTCTGTGCGACCGCGTAGAGGGCAGCCCACCAGGCTCCCCCATCCCTGGGATTCTCCAGGCAAGAACACTGGAGTGGGTTGCCATTTCCTTCTCCAATGCAAGAAAGTGAAAAGTGAAAATGAATTCGCTGAGTTGTGTCCGACTCGTAGTGACCCCAGGGACTGCAGCCTACCAGGCTCCTCTGTCTATGGGATTTTCCAGGCAAGAGTACTGGAGTCGGGTGCCATTTCCTTCACCGCAGAGTTATCTAGTGCTGTATTAACAGAGCTCCCCAAAACTCAGTAGCTTAAAGAAGCTACTGATTTCTTATTTCTCACAACTGTGGCTGGCTGACTGCTCCTTCGGCTGGTCTTGCCTGAGCTTGCTCATGTAGCTGAATTAAGTGGGGGTGGTCAGCAGGAGCTGAGCTCGGCTGGGACACCTGGGCCCTGCTCTCCTCGTGATACTGGGTTGGCCAAAAAGATCATTCAGGTTTTTATAACGTCTTATGGGAAATCTGAATAAACTTTTTGCTAGTTTTATATTTTATTGTGGGCTGACTCTGGGTGGGTCTCATGATTTGTTGTGACCAGTAGAATGAGGCAGAAGTTATATCACCTGATTTCTGAGACATGAGCCTTAAGAAGCTTTTCAGCCTCCTCTTTTGTTCTCTTAGATCACTGCCTGGAGGCCTTCAAGCCCTGAAGAACGTTAACTATTTTTACTCTCTTCACAGTAGTTAGTTTGCTTAGTTGTAGGTATTTCCAGTCAGATTATAGACAGAAGGGGCCATAAAGCTAAGTACAAGATTTATCTCTGCCAACAACAACATTCATTCCTGCCTGTTCTTTCTAGATGCAGCCCTTCAGTCTTGTCAGATTGGAGAGTCTTCTGATTTTTCTGTTTTAAAATGTTTCACCAGCCTAGGAAACCTGATTTACTCATTCATTCACAAATAATGATCAGATGCCTGTTATGTACAAGGCTCTGTGCTGGGGGTATGACATCATTTTGAGAAAACAAGAGAACACAGACCCTGATGTCTATCATGAGTCTTACATTCTGTGTATCTACTGTATCTATCAACAACAGAGGACATTAAAAAAATCAATTGAACAGTTAGTAATTTTGAAGAATTCCAAAGGATTCATACTTCAGGGAGCTACAGGGGACACTGAACCAGTCTGGGGAGATCAGGGAGACACCTTTAGGAAAGGACACTTGATTTGATCCTTAAGGATGAGTTCATGTTAACTAACCACTGCCCCCCTCTTTTTCATTCTCCTTTCCCAGCCTTCTCATATCTCTTTGCCTTCACCAGCCACCAGGGTTATGATCATTTTTTATGTGTGTGTGTGTTCAGTTGCTCTGTCTTGTCCAACTCTTTGCAGCCCCATGGACTATATAACCCACCAGGCTCCACTGTCCGTGGGACTTCCCAGGCAAGAATGCTGGAGTGGGTTGCTGTTTCCTTCTCCAGGGGATCTTCCCGACCCAGGGATCGAACCTGCATCTTCTGCATCTCCTACATTGACAGGTGGATTCTTTACCACTGTGCCACCTGGGAAGCCCAAACAGCTCATCAAGAGAAGTTAAGCTTGTACTATCTACAGCCTCCTTCAGTCCAAGACAAGAATTTTTCTAAAGGACAAACATCTTTCTTCTTTTGGACCAACATTAAAGAAAACTGTCTTTCACAGCTCCAGTTTAGCACCTCGCTTTTTGTATTTTCAGCAACTCAAGCATCCCAACCTCGTCAACCTTATTGAAGTCTTCAGGAGGAAGCGGAGGCTTCACCTGGTGTTTGAGTACTGTGACCACACGGTGCTCCATGAGCTGGACAGACACCAAAGAGGGTGAGTGACCCGTCCTTTATAAACAAAACCCAACAAAACACACCAGGGTTTGCGAGGGAAGATGAGCTGTGAGCTTTTTTCACGGTAGGCAGGGACAGCAGTGTTTGGTCAGCATACTCTGCTGCTGAGGGGGTTGCCAGAAATGTTGGGAAAGAGATCATAACTAGTCATTTTCGTGAATAAAGCAGCAACTACATTATTAGATTGAACTTGATTTCTTTGGTATATTATCTCTGCATAGATGCTATATCAGTCTCTAGGAAAGAAAAGGAAGGATCTCAATTATTCCATGCCAGCCTAGGGAAGCATAAGGACTTGGAGGTTGAAAGGAAGACTTCAAAGACAATGGCTCATAGGAAATTTAAGGCTAAAACAAATGTGGTGTTTTTATAAATATTTTTTAAAACTTACTTATTCTTAATTGGAGGATAATTGCTTGCCAACGTTGTGTTAGTTTCTGCCATACGTCAATGTGAATCAACCACAAGTATGTACGTAGTGAAGGTCAGGGAAGCCTGGCAAGCTGCACTCATCGGGTCGCAGAGTCAGACAGGACTGAGTGACTGAAAGCAACAGTCTTATGTGTTCTCTCCCTCTTGAAACTCCCTCCCGCTTCCTGCTGCATCCCACACTTCTCGGTTGTCACAGAGAGCCAGGTTGAGCTCCTGCGTTAACTAGCTATCTGTTTGACATATGGTAATGTTTATGTCTCAGTGCTACTGTCTTAATTCGTCCCACCCTCACCTTCCCCCACTGTTTCCTCAAGTCTGTTCTCTATCTCTGCGTCAAAATGGTACTGATGAACCTATTTGCAGGGCAGCAGTGTTTTATCTGAAGCAGCCCGGTTATCCGGCCTGCAGTATTGGTCAGAGTTTTTTTGGTTACCAATGACAAAAACCTAACTGACGCTGGTGTAGGTGAAAAAAGGAAGTGGTGGTGTCTGTAATTGGGAAGCTGGCTCTGGAGGCTCCGCTGATCTTAGCACGTTTCTAGCACAAGCAGCACCTTTGTGTGCAGCAGCAGAAAGCCCTGATGAGCAGACAGAGCCTTTGTTGCAAAAAACAGTGCGGTGTTGGGGAGTCCCTTCCTCTGAAGGTAGCTCCTTGTGAGGGTGAGCAGAATGCAAGCCGGGTTTTGGCTCCCCGCAGCTGGGTGTCTTTAAGGCAGAGCACCTTAGCGGGGCTTTCTCTTTCCTTTTCTCTCCCCCTCCCTCCCAACTCTTCTTTCTGTATTAGCTTCATTCTGCCTTTCAGGTGAGTCTCCCCTACAGGGTTGATTTTGGAGGGCATATGTGTGCTGTGAGATGGAAGGCGTAAGGAAAGGAAAAGTGTGTAGTGGAAAGTATTGCTGTAGGCTTTTATCAACCTGTATAACCATTCTAGAAGAAAGGAAATTCTAGAAGAAAGTAGTGTCTGCACAGAAAGTCCAATGGAAGACTAATTGGTTCAGCTTCAGTGATGCAGTTATCCCTGGGAGCAATCACTGTGCTGGAGGAAGAAGGTAGAATGACTAGCAGGCCCAGGGAGATAGNAGGAGTTGGTGATGGACAGTGAGGCCTGGCGTGCTGCGATTCATGGGGTCACAAAGAGTCGGACACGACTGAGCGACTGAACTGAACAGAATCTGCAGAGTGCACCAGAGATCAGAGTGATGGAAGGGTGCTGCATCCTGACTCACGTTCGCACTCCAGTGGCTGGAGGCTGAGGCTCGCAACAAGGCTTTCAAGCTTGGCCAAGGGCTTGCTCTGCCACGTGCTGGTGGTTATACATGATCTAGCGTGACCTCTGGGCAGATGGGATTAAAGTGGCTCATGATTTGTTAGTGACCATGGCACAGGCAGCTTTTCTTGTTAGTTTACACAGAGAGAGCCAAGAGGACAGACTTCCCGCCTTCAGAAAGTCACTGATACAACAGAGAAATTATGTGTTCAAGGAACAAAACATTTAGTGTGCTGGTATTTGCTCTTTTGACAGCTTGCAAGTGACACTTTGATTAAGCCTACTAGTATAAGTTACTTGTGCCATGGGTAACTAGGGGGTTGTTGAAGGGAATTTGATTAATCATGTTCGATTGAGTCACTTGCCAACTCTGATTAGTGGGAGGTTGAAAGGAATTGGGAGTCAGTTCATGTAGTTTAAGCAGAAGAATAAGAAGACAGGACAAGGAGGGATGAGAGTCCTGGAAGCAGATATTTTTTTTCTTTTTAACTCTGCTGGCTAAAATCTCCAATATGTGTTCCAGAAAATGCTTTAATATAGAGGTGGGTTAGAGAAGGGAACATCTGATAGACACGTGTGTGGTTAAGTACAAGCAACTTCATTTCTAAATGATACTGTGCCATGGTTTGTCAAATATAAGACTGACCTAAGGAACACCAATAAATGAGCAGGTTTGAAAACTAAGATTTATTCTAAATCAGATCGTATCTATTTACTTTGAAGTTTAAGGATTTTTGTTTGTGTGTGTTTTAAAAATAAAAGTAACTTTCCATTATACTGGGTAAGAGTGGCGTCCCTGGTGGCTCAGTCGGTAAAGATTCTGCCTGCAATCTGGGAGACCTGGGTTCGATCCCTGGGTCGGGAAGACCCCCTGGAGAAGGAAACGGCAACCCACTCCAGTATACTTGCCTGGAGAATTCCAAGGACAGAGGAGCCCGGAGGTCTACAGTCCATGGGGTCACAAAGAGTTGGATTCGACTGAGTGACTAACTTTCATACTATTTAGAGAAGTGGCATGTTCCACTTTATATTTTAGAAATTTGTACCTGGGAATATAGCGATCACAGGGCATTCTAGGGGTAAAGAGGCAAACCCAGGGAGGACCAGCCTGCCAGATTTCTAAAATACAAAGTGGACCGTGCCACTCCCCTGCATAAGTCATTTGATAGCTCCCCAAAGCTTACTGGCGCGGTGAAAACCCTGCAATGCGATACAAGGTCTCCCTCTGTAGGTCCATCCCACTTCCCACCAGTGCTCAGTCCCATGACATTATTTGCATTCTAGGCTTTAGGATACTGGTTTGCCTTACCTTCTCTACTTTGCCTGGCAAACTTCTGCTTGCCCTTGGATACAGCCCAAATATGACCTCCTAATGATATCCACTTTAGGAGAGGGGAGAGTTCCTTCCTCTGGTATTCATTATATCTTCCAGGATTATTTATATTTGCCCAGTAAACTATAAAATATTCAAGGGCAAGAGTTGTATCTTCCTCACCTGTGTATCCTCAGTAATTTCTAGGTTAACTTTTGGCACTTGGTACATTCCCAGTACTGTTGTATAGTGATTGAGTCAGCAAATCAATAAATTGATCCTTACAAGATGATTTTAAAGAGTAATCAAAACAATGGATTTTTTTAAATTTAAAAATAATTACTTTGATTAAAATTTTCTAAACCTAATACTGTCAAAGGAAATGATCAGTACACTGTTGGACAGAGGGCAGTTTGGCAATCAATGGGTCTGCTGCTGATTGGGCTTCCCAGGTAGCTCAGTGGTAAAGAATCCACCTGCCAGTGCAGGAGACTTGAGTACGATCCCTGGTCGGGAAGATCGCCTGGAGGAGGGAATGGCAACCCACTCTAGTGTTCTTGCCTGGAGAATCCCACGGACAGAGGAACCTGGTGGGCTACATATAGGCCATGGGTTTGCAAAGAATTGGACTTGACTGAGCAACTGGGCATGTATGCTGCTTCTGATAATTTACCCCAGAAAATAAATATATGTGTAAAAAGTTTAGTTATAAAAGTGTCTGTTTTTAAGTATTGTTTCTAATGAAAAAAATTGGAAACAACTGAAATGTTCAGTGATAAAGGATTGGTTAAGTATAGTATGTCTTTATAATGGGATACAGTGGAGCTGCTAAGAAACATGCTTATAAGATAAAACAAACATTTACATATAAAAATGTTCATGAGTGGTTTCAAGGTAAAAAAAGCTGTGCTATAATAAATGCATGTTTCCTTTTTTATACAATTTATATGTAGATAGAAAATTTTAAAAAGTAATATGTACATTTTAATAGAGATTATCTGAGTGATGTTTGTATAGATATTTTTCTTTTTTTTTATTTTCTCCATGTTCCATTTATTATTCTGGCAATGTTTTAATTATTAAAAATAATTCTTGCTAAATCAGAACCAAAGAACTTCTCTCTACTGTGAATCTGAAGTGGTTACTAATTCATCCTCTTGTAACATGTTGGTAACTTTGAACTCATCTGAAAAGCTTTTGGAGAAGATTCACATTCATGCTATACTGAATATAATATATATAATGAATATAACTTCAATGTTATAACTTGCTGTAACAGTCAAGTTTATGCCAGAATATATCCTGTATACATATATAAATATATAAATCTTTATCCATTATTATTCCCTGTGTTGTGTTCATATTGCTTAGATTTGCTCTCAACAAGCATATTTCTTATCTTCCATAGGACTTAATATGCTTTTTACTTATTCTGTAAACCGTTGGTCTGTCCTCTGTCAAAGTTTTGTAAACAATTGGTTTATGTGTTCTCTCCGTGTTTTCTGCCCCTGTTTAAGTGCAGCCAGACACAGTACTTCACTCATTTTTTTCCTGTGCAGATTCCATTTCAACCAGATCCTCTTCTGACTCTCTTATAGTTTATTCAAAGAACATCTGGTGAGTAAAGGGCATTACTACAAGTTTTTGGTTTCTGACAATGCAATTCCAGAGCTAACCCTAAAAAATCTCTTTTTTTAAAAAAGTGATATATTGTTTGTTGTGAAAATGTTCCAAGCAACACAGAAACATGTAGAAATAATGTTTGAGAAATAGTTTTCTAATTATTTTTTATGCATTTCTATATAAATACTTGAAGAGATTGTACTCTATATACTGTTCTTCATTTTTTAAGTGTATTTGGGAGCTGTCTCCCTATTCTTAGATATCTGCTTTTATATTTTTTAAATGGTATAAAATTCCATTGTACAGACATACCATGGTTTCTTTATTCAACCCCCCACTGATAAATA